GTTGGACAGCGTTCACGCGCAACCCTGGCGTGCAGTAAGTACTGCCTCGGCTACAACCTCCCTCGGTGAACTCCATCTTCCTCCTTCTCCTCTGCTTTGGCTACTGTATGGGACATGGCCATCCAGAGATAAGAATAGAAGCTCTCCTTCCAGCTCCTCAGCGATTTGGGCTCCTGGCCGTTGGATCTGCGCGCTTGATGCGATCCGAGCTGTCGGATCGAGCCCTGGAACGACCTTGTCCGTCGGATAAAAAATAGTTACTGCTGGAATGAACAGTTTCACCTCGACCGTGCCACCGCGCGTAAATAGCCTGCCCCACCGGGGGCATTCTCGCCATTTCGCTTTGTCTGTGGCTGGCGTTCGTGCTAGGGCGATGATGATTAACTGTGGCTGGAATAAGTGTGCCTTTGAGCAATCAAGGCACCTGTGGGTATCAAGTTGGATCCTCCCTGTTGTCTCTAGAATCCTTTTTGATCCTGTGATACCTATTGATCTGTTCTTAGATGGTCATTCTTGTTGAGTGATAACCAGGGCAGCTCCATTGTGTAAACAGATTGATTTGGTGATAAGAGATGATGGGGATAGGTTATATGATCGAGAAAAGGCGAATCTGAGCCCACTATGCAATAAAACTGCAGCTACCTCCCCTAATGTGTGTAGTATTGAAGGCAAAATAGAACTTTTAATGTCTTGCTACTTTAAAATTCCAAAAAGGTGCATTCATCCTTAGCTGGTTACTGATTCTTCATCTTAAGGTGACCCCATTTATATAGTGGTTCTATCCATCTGATTTGAACTGGGAGAGGGCCACTGATTCTTGATCTTAAGGTGACCCCATTTTTCTATGCCTCATGCTCATGCTGCTCTATGTTCCCTTTTAAAGATTCTTGCTTGCATTTTGGGTTGGTTTTCTGCTCTATGTTCCCTTTTAGCATTTCTTTCTGCTGTTGATGCATTCCCTTTTTTGTATATTACATGTTCTTTTTGTATCTCATTCTGCATGTAACATAACTAAATAATACATTGAGATGAAAGGTTATATCTGATATCATTGAGAGGAGCAGGCCAACATCCCTACCTCCCTCTTCAACTCCCACCCAACACAATTGTGGTGAGCCCCCCCTCTCATTCTGGTTAACTGCAGCTCATCCATGGTTTTGTTTTGGACCGTCTAAATTCTGGTTAACTGCAGCTCATCCATGGTTGTACATTTTCCTCTTTTCCCCCTTGCAAGTTGGTCCGCTGTCTACAGGTGCTCGTTATTCTGGCCAGTTTGTCGTGCTCTATCTTCGACCACCTCTTTGCAGGTTGTCCCCTTCTCCCCCTCTCTTCTATGCTTTCCAGGCCTAGGCTTACATTTCTTCCTGTATGAAGCGGCTGTTAGATTTTGTTTGGACAATGGATGTATCTGCTTTTTGTTCTCTTATTGGTAGAAGCCTAGCATGTAAAACTATTATCCCCTGCCTTTATTTTTGTGCTTGCTTGGCATTTGGAATTGGGCATTTTGGTCACTTCTATAGATCCTGGTTGTGCTCAAATTTCTCCGCTTATGTTTAGCCTTTGTTAGGTATACCTCTTTGCTGTCTTGATGTGCGCATGTGCTACCTTCTAATATTCATGCCTCATTGCATTCTAATATTTTCCTTGCTTGTACTCAGGTTCCAGCTGTTATTTCAATGCATCTTATTCATGGATGCATGCTTTACATGCTCTTCTAGCATATGTTTGTTCTTGTGTTGCTTTCTCTTATCTCCTAACTGCCTCTTGAGTGCAGGAAAATGCCTCAATTAATTAGTTTGTCGCTCCGTTAGTCGCCATGGTCAGATGATGCTTCAGGTTTGCACTTCACATTGAGGTATTGGCCTGGTTACTAGCATAGGTTTTCCTGTTGTACCGCTTACTGCAATTTCATTATTGATTTGATAGGAAAACTGGTGTTTATCTACATGAGGGACCTGGTTGTATTACCTACTACATGCATCGTTAACTGGGCACCAAAAAACCTAGATTGTGCATCTCTGTTTGTTCATGTGGTGATTATCCTATTGTTTTCGGCATCAGTGAGTTATCTCTTCCCTGTGTTTTTTGCGTGAAGTCTTAGCCAACACCCAAGGTTCTGTTCCTGTGTAATTATTTTGCATTGTTTCAGTTTGTTGTATTACGATGCCTATTTTGCAGTCACACAATCCAAATGTAATAGTAGGGAGAAAGATGATGATGTTGTGCTTTATATCACAATTCAAATTCTAGAGTCGCACTTTTTGTTGATTAATCATTCTGACCAGTAATGATTATTCCTCTTTGTTTTATTGTATTGTTGGCCAATTAAAAAAATTGTAGGTGTATATTTTCTGTATGGTATATATTATGCGAGTTATTTCTAACGCATCTTGATTTTATTTTAGAATCATCTAACTCAAGCTCATGCCTTTGATCTTTGTTAACTAAAGCTTCTGTTATATTGGATATCAAATTATCTACACTTGAACTTAAGATGTGATGTATCATACTAGATTTTCACTCTTTTAAAAAATCTTAGTTAGCATTCAGATTTTTTTAGAATAGATGCTCCTATATTTTTGTCAGCGCTTGATGTACTTTGTTTAAATGTTTCTTCCTGGTAGGATCGATTGTAAACAGTGGATGAATGCATACCTTTTCAAGCTTAAGCATTTGATGTTTGGTGATGTGGTATTTTCTCTTTAAAGACGTTCCTACTACTTTCTTTTTTGATAAATAGACAAGTTGGATCCAGTGTATGTCCATGTGTGTGCCTTGGTTCAGTACGCAATGAAATCTGGGAAAGTGGCTTCTGTTTAACATTGTCATGAAAGATACATTCACATATCTTGAACTTTCTATCTTGGTTCTATTTGTATTGTTAGTTTCAAAAGATATATTCACTTCTTTGCGACTTTTATCTCTATAACATGTCTACTCTTCGTTTAGATATATTTTTTATTCCAGCTATGTTGTTGTGAGGGAGCAGGCTTCTTATGGGGAATGGTGATGATTTCTTGAGCTTTCATTTTGTTCTCCTTTCTATCCCAAACATAGTTTTCGCAGAGTCGATGTATGTGCCGGTTTGCCCAGATAATCCATGTAGCGGTTAGTCTGTTTTTATTCATATAATTACTGGACTCCTATAAAAAACACGGAGATGTACTGCGCTATATGTTCTCTGATCCGTTGAGCCCAAACATGTACAAGTGGATCTGATCGTTAGATTTTAATTATATTTTGGACGTTGTCATAGCTAGCAATATATAGTGCAGTTTACTTTCTTTGTCCTCTTGTGGCCACTAACTAAATCTTTTGTGTTTTCTTCTTTTGCTCAGGGCCCTATGCTCCTATAGCTTGAATTAGGGTGGTGCCAGTGATTCACAAGGTAATTTCACCTCCTTTGAAAATAAAGTGTCTCCGTGCTTCACTTTTGGCCACTTTGATTCTAATGCACATATGTGCATTCTTTTTTTGTCATTTATGCGAATTGTGTACTTCTACAATGACAAATCGGTATATCTTAGTTGTATGTTGTTGAGTCATTTAAAATGGATGCAGAACCCTACATTATAAATTGATCATGCTGATTTATAATACCTCTGATCCATAATAGGTGTCGCAGTTTTGAACATTTTGGATCGGAGGGAGTAGTTTTGTTCCTACTATTGGTGTAAAGCTCTTGCTCTAGGCTCACACGATCTAATTATTGTTCTATATAGAACACCACCTTTTAGTTTTTTATAATCCCTCAATTTTCTACAGAAATATGTTGCCCCAATATGCCTAATTTTATATTCAGAGGTAGCATTGATGCACTTGCCTCCTTCAAAAGGCCATATGTGTTGCTTTGTGCTACTTCTCTTTCATATCCAGTTATTTAGAAATAGCTATGGTAACCTTTTCTATTGCATTCATTTAGCTGCATTTTAGATTCAATCTGTTTTCGTAACTACTTATTATAGTGTCACATGAACCTTTCTTTTACTGGCCTACATGAACAGTGCGAACACTGGTTCTTTATAAAGGCGTTATAAAGATGTAGGTACTCTTCAAAGCAATTAGAAAGAAATAAAGCCTCAATCAACGTAGTTCAGAGGATAGAGCCCATGGTGGCTACCATTGATGTCTGAATTGTGAAGTACAATCTTCTGCACTTTGCTCTACAGGCACAGTGTTACTAATTTGTGTTCAATCTCAGTATTCCATTTATCTAAATTTTGTATAGTTTGCATAGTGCTTAGGTTCATTAGCTAATTATATTGTTTTTGTAGATCTTCCATATTATCATTAGCAAGGTGAAGTCATTCAAGTATTGGCCACTACTATCTGCATTAGCTTCGCCTCAGAAAATAACCTTTTCACTTGGAAGGAGGAAGTAGGAGTTCTCAGTAATGGTTAACTACAAGCTACACTAGATGTTCTTTGATTAACAAAGACAAATGTCCTACTATTATCGATGTTTCCAGAGCTTCGTTCTCAATTTGTCTGTTATCTCATTATGTTTATGAGCAGCTCCAAAATCTGACACTTATGCTTGCCAGTATGAATTTCTTGGCTATATTTTATAGAACTTATGTCTTGACGCTTTGTACTGAACTTGATGCAGTCCAATTCAAGTCAGTTGTCCTGAGCAAGCACTATGTCTTGCTTTTGGTACACTTTGTGCCTTTATGCTTTGTAGTAAAGTTCAAGGCCAGTTGTCTTGGGAACAACTATACCATGCTTCTGGTATATCATTAATTTGTATGCTCTATGCTAAACTCAGTTATCTGGGCAGCAACTATATTACTTACTGTTTGTGATCTGTACAAAATAAATTTAGCTTGAGTGATTGCTCTGATTTCCTTTGGATGCACAAAATGCTTTGTTATATTTGAGTTTTATACGTTGGGTCATTGTGCTGAGCCAGGCACCGGTGCGCCAGGGCGCACTTCCGATCTAGTGTTCATTATGCAAGCTAGAAATAGCAGCGCCATGCTCATGCATAGTTGAGTACCTCAACTATTAGAGCTTCTTTTCCATAGCACCTCAGAGTCAATTGTGGTGAGATGTTGATCATCAAGCCTCTTCCATGTGTTGATAGACTTCATGCCTTGCCACTCGCCGCTCGCTGCCTTCTCAAGTTGCACAGACACCACCCTTGCTCTCCTTGACCACCCGGCCATGCCATACGCATGGTAACCGAAACCACCAGCATAGCACAGCTGAATACCAGTGAGCTTACCACAGAAGTCATTTAAGTGATCATGTCCTACAAAGGCAGCCTTCACATCTCCAGCTTCCACCATGGTGTTAAAGAAGCCGGAGTTGATCGACGCCGAGCTGATACCCTTCTCCTGCTTTACTCCTGTGAAATTGGATGCCGTAAAGTTGTTAAACTCCGGCAAGGGAATGTGGAAGTAAGCAAGACCAGGTGCTGGCTCCTTCTGTCTGGGTTGTCCACCCGTATAGTTTTGCTGCATTTCATATGAACTTTTGTTATTCTAGTTTCTAACATAAAATATGTATGTACATAGCACCAAACTATACAGGTACTAGAAGTCTAGAACTACTGTCATCACCTACTTTCATCTATCTATATTTAACACGCAAAACATTTTGAAACCAATTGTATTCGGAACTAATACAGTGCCTGCGAACAGATCAATCATCTATTTTGAAATTGCATAAATTTCTTGCCTTCCGTCGACAGAATAATTATTGATTTTTTTTGCAGAGTTATGATGGTCCAACAGATAATTAATGTGTTGTTGTCGATTGCAAATGGCATCCGCCTACAGCCTACTCAGTATGGCAAGAGAAAGTATAAGTAGCATAGCACGAAAGATGGTGACAAATTCACCTGGAGACTCGAAGAGGTTTGCCTGAACCAAGCTTCCTGTGATGCCTTGATCCAACCATAGCCACGGATCGATGGCACAGTGGAATAGTCACCACTATCAAGAAAATACATGTTGAGCACTGATTTGTTAGCCAGCAGTGTTCCTTCAACCCCTGCAACCTCCAAATTATAGTTTCCGTAGCCATCGATTTCTACTCCTTGTGGATTGAAGCGTGCAAGGGTGTTCTTCATGCCTACAAGGTGGCGCATCACACCCTCGCGCGACAGCGTACCCTCTTGGTCATGGTTGCCGAGCACAGCAGCCCAGGGAAGTTTCATGGCAATGGCCGGAGCGATCGCCGCATCCATCGACTTGGCCGCATCGGTTGAATTCTCACCAAAAATGTTATCACCTGCCCAAGAAACATTGTGGATCATGTAGGAGTATTTGTTTTTGGTCGGGCACCACACTCTTTTAAGACTTTTTAGTTTTTGTAACATTGTGTCCACTCCAAACTTCTGCTATGAAGATGTAGAGGCCAGGGTCTCCGCTTTTTCGCAGAAAAATAGACATTGTGGCGATGAAATTATCTATATCAATGATCATTACACCAAATGCATTGGGGGTGGCAACAATTATCATCAATGCAAATGCATTTTCAACCAAACTTTTCTAACAGTATAGCACAATCAAATGCATTTTCAACCAATCTCTCTAACATTAGTAAACCGTTTCTAAAGTTGCTGAATGCAAGATTGGGAGGACGCTAGCAGTGGCATCGAGTCGATTACTGTTACTGTTACTGGAGTAACAAACCAAGAGGTGGGTGGGTGGAGTGGACTGGCATGGCGTACCGGTGAAGACGACGAGGTCGGGGTCCTCGGCGCGGAGGAGGCGGTAGAGGAAGGTGGTGGTGTTGAGGTCGGAGCAGCCGGCGCGCTGCGCGGGCAGCACGTCCCTGCACCGTGTGCTCCGCCCGTCCGCGTAGTGCATGTCCGCCACCTGCAGCACCTTGAACGTGCCGCCCTCCCGCTGGAACCGCAGCCCGCCGTCGCCCTTCCCCGCCGCACCCACCGCGACGAAGAGGACGAGGAGGGGCATCAACGACAGTGACGGAAGAGAGCGCCGGAAGCCGAGGCGGGGCATGCTGGCGGAGGATCGTAGTTCGGAGCGGGAAGTCCGGGCAACACTGTCACCGGGGGTGGCTCCTCCTTCGGTTCATTCTTCTTTCTTTATAGGAGGGTCCGTGCTTGGCGGTCTTGGCCGCCGGATTGGCGAGGCGTGGGGGGCGTGGTCTGGTCTCGCCCTCGCTCACTTATTTCGTTGTGCTTTTCCAAAACGAATGGCGTGCGGTGCGGTGCGGGGCCGGCGAGTCCGCGGTGGCGAGGAAGGTCGACGGAGGGGAAGCTTCCTCATTGGATGGCGCTAGACTTCTCTGGTCTCGCCGTGGACTAGCTACGTCGGTCAACATGCTTCTGCGCGTGTACACATTGGGTAATTGCCAATGCAGGGCAGATGTGAGTTGAGTGCCCATCAGAGCAGAGCAGTTCCATGTGGTGGGGCAAAGATATCTCCAGCGAGACTTGACGAAATTGCAATGGAAGAAAAGTCTCGGTTAAGGAATCAATCAAGAAATATGAAACACAATAAGCATACATTCAAATTCTGCGTAATTAAAATGCACAAACTCTAAAGAATCACACCGGCGAGCAGCGGAGCTGTAGAAGACCAAAGCTTATGCCTAAATGAAGAAAAATAATGAAATAAAAAGAAAAGGAGCAACATTGGTCCTCCTTGAGCGACTTTGACGCCACGAGGATGATGCAACTGCAAATGATCCGGGAGAAGTACTTCGG